GAATTTATTTTTCCACGCTGTTTTCAGTGATTCGGAACATTAAACCTTCAATCTTCCATGTTGAAGAAAACATGAAAAGAGGCATCATTTTCTAAATAAAGTAAATAAAATAACATGAATTTGATTTCAAACATATCTGCATCAAATAAAATAATTTTGATTTAACTAAACAAAACCTGGTTGCGGCAACGTGTATTGGCTATTCTTTTCTTACGAATGGCACTTGGTACAACACCGTGCGATAAATTATTAAAATTATCACGGGTTTTCTAATTTTCATTTTATAACTTACCAGGCGCTTTTAGTTTCAGACAACTCTTATATTACGAAATATTTGCGTCGTTTCGTAAATCGTGTGCCAAAAGCTTTGCTTAGTCTCATGCTCACCGAGGGAGCTTCCCGCCACGGGTTGTTGGAACTCTTGTTAGATTAACGAAATTATAAAGAAGGTTCCATTCGGTTGAGCCTACTTATGAACAGATGATTGAATAAAGATTTTAAAATATGATAATGTATATAGTTCAAAGTCATGCACTGGTTACGAACGGGCGACAAAAGCGCCTTACACTCCGTGTGTTCTGTAACGCGTTACAAGGAACGACGTAGCTGGAAACACGTTAGTGTTTTTCGTAACGTAGTAACGTGTTCTTTACCTCTTCTTCTCAAGGCTTAAAAAAACAGAAAAAAACTCTTATATTGTTTGAATGTTTCTAGGCGCCAAGTCATATGAATTCTCGCATTCCTCCCACATACATTCAAAATCACACTGCTTGCACACCATACAAAAAACAGTCTGCATTAATGTTCTAAAGCGAGTCACCGCGAGATCCGTGCGTCGAATGCCGCATGGCAATGAGTTCAAGGAGAAACTTGGCATGCGGCAATCGAACCACGGATGTTGCATTGACTCGCGTTTGCAGACTGTCTTTTGTGTAATGTGTGAGCAATGTGACCCTGGCTTAATATATATAACGTAATTATGTAAAGTTTCTGCATGAACCTAATGGATTTTTGTTTAAATGTGGCGCTTATGCATACCTATAACGTGAGAACCGTAACGCGTTTAAATTTCACAAATAAAAAACGTAGCACAGAAGTAACGTGGCTTATATTTAATCGGTAATTGTAACGCGTCCCTTCTATTCTGAAGTAACGTAGGTCGGCGACGTGTTCCTTTTACTTGCAAGTAACGAGTAACGTATTTCGCTACTTTTTATCCGTAATGACTACAAGACTGCTTTCGCTGTTCCGTCGCCCACTTATTCTTGGTTATGTTGGCATCGGGTGCCATAGGCAGTATTGTGGGCACCTAATACAGCTTATTTCCCTATTGCTATGACAGATCAAGAAACTAATTTGTGTGAGCAAACAAAAAAAAAAAAAAACAATCTTGTAGTCAAGTTTCAGTGCCCGTTTGGAGCCCAGAAAGCAACGAGCTAGGAACGATAATAATCCCTAGAGAAGGGGGACAAAGGATAAACAAAGATCTCCCAACACAGCTAGGTGACTGGTGCGTGACCGAACGAATTCGCCTTCCTAGTATCGAACCAGGGACCTCTCCATTTCTAGTGGATTAGACACGTGCGCTATAAACCAAAATCGCGATAAAGAAATGAGATCGCGACGACCCCCCCGATATTGCTTCACGCAGGTCCTCACCATACGGCATATCCAAGTATAGTCACTGCAGCGGCCGCCTCCAGAACAGTGGCGCTTCGAACGACGAGAGGCGAACCGCGGTGAGGGGGGGGGGGGGGGGGGGGGGGCGTGTACTGCTTGTGGAAGCAGCGTCTGCGAGCAGTTCTGTAACTGAGCTAATCGAATAGCATTGGCTGCAGCCAACGTCGACCGGGGCACCACCCTGACGTCATGTCACAGGTGTGCTGCGGCACGCGTCGCCCAGTGTTGCTGACTAAAAGCTAACCCGCTTGCGGCCCGCTAAAGATCAGGTGGCCGCATCTTTAAAATCGGTTTTAGTAAAGTACGCGGCATCACTTTGACGTAATATTTCGGCTGTGGTCATATTTAATGCCACTAAAGCGATAGTGTTCATTTATTTCGGTTTCGTTTTCGACCGGAGTTGCCCTTTAATGCCCGCGTCCAACGAGAGCGACAGACAGAGACAAAAGACAGCGACAAGCCTCAAACCCATGCAGCATGCTCGTGATGGTACCTTTGGCAGGCGTTTAGTCGTTCGGTGCTCGCGAAGTAAGCGCGAGCGATTGCAAGCCTGCCAAAGTTACCCTCGAGTCCATGATGCTCGTGTTTGAGCATAGCCTCTGTTACACTACAAAGCGTCTCAAATCGCAAAAGACTCTGGTTTAAGGCTTGTCGGTCTTTTGTTTCTTTATGTCGCTCTAGTGGGACACGAGTATAAGAACGGCAAGAAGGAGGAGACGATCTAGAAACAGGGGGGATTCGTCGCTCATACTTAAGTGAGATAAGGCAAAGCGAAAGACCGTTACGCCATTAATTGCCGATGAACGTGCATAATAGTGCAGTGACCATTGTGGTTTTGTTCTGAAGCGAGCGATGCAGGGCGCCAGCACGTTTGTTTGCATTATGGGCATTTCGAGCTCTGCGTTATGCCGGAGTCCCACCAGAGCGACAAACAAAAACAGCCTACACAAGCCTGCACCGACAAGCCTCAAACACGTGCAGCATGCGCGCGATGGTACCTTTGGCAGGCTTTCAGCCTCTCGGTGCTCGGTTAAAGTAAGCACGAATGATTGCAAGCCCGTGAAGATGCCCTCGCGTGCATGATGTTGGTGATTGAGGCTTCTCGGTGTCGTTAGAGCCACTAAATGAGCTGCGCTTGCAGCCTCGTCCCACTAGAGCGACAAACACCGATTTTTGTCTGACGACATCACAAAGTTCCATGGCGCCGATGCTATCCTACTGCAACGACCAACACCGGCGACAACCGCCGACAAGTGCTGACAAACGATCGACGACGGACAAGTTCTTGTCTGCCATTGGACTTGAAGCGCAGCAAGCAGTTCCGCCGAGGAACATCTCTCGGAGACAAACTTATCCTCCTCGTCCGCCTGTGCCTTCTGTTGCCTCCCTTCCACCCTTCTACCCTTCCTCCCGTTCCTCCCGTGGCTCGCTCCGCCGCTCGACCTTCAGAAAAGCCCGACCTTCAGAGAAGCCCTTGGCGGCCACTACTCGTCCCCGCAGTTCCGGTCCCTCGATTGCTCGTAGTGGTCGCGGGCGCGGCTTGCTTGCTGGCACCGGGCGAGAGGTGGTGCTTCAAGACGACGAGGTCTACGCCCCTGCAATCTGCATCAGGGTGGATACAACCATGTTCGAGGACTTACCAAAGTAGACCGCTCACCACGAATTACGATACGTCGTTCTGCGACAAGCCATTCCGGCAGACTTGAGACTTGTCATCACGTTCTGTGATAATCGGGATGCCGTATTGTCCTCCAAAAAACGCCTGCCCTCGATCATTCGGATATGAAGTTATAAACATCCTCTAAATCGGCGTGAAATTCCGTGGTGGCTCACATAAAATTCCTCAAACGACCCGAAAAAGGATCGATTCGGGTATTCTAGTTCGGAAAAAGTTTGGTGTCGATTGTCACGACTCTTTGCGGAAAGCCGCCAACGGCAAACGAAGAGAAAGCGGACGAGAAACAAAGTAATCGTCTCCACTTTCACCGTGTTTTTCCGCGCGTTTTATGCCCAAAGAGCAAAATACGGAAATTGCGTCGCCAGACTCAGTTTGTCTGTGTATTTTAAAGTGTTTTGTTGACAACTCCAGTCACACTAGAAAACAAATTTCCTTGTCCCCGCGCCCTGCGTCGTGTCCGCCAGGTGGGACGGCGGACTCCGACAAACTAAAGCCCCTCGATATGTTTGCGTTTGTCGTGCAAGTAGCGCCAAATGCGCGAGTGCACTAGACCCGGGTCTCGAGCGGCCCTTGGAAGCGAATGGCGGCGGAGCACCCGCTTGTGGCACGTGTCCCGCGCGGTTCCACAACAATGGTTGGCGGTACTTGTAAAAAACGCCTGTATCAAGGGGCTTTACGACAAACAGGCTGTCTGTTAGTGTCGTCTGTCGCTCTTTGTCGTGTGTCGCTGTCGTTTGTAGCTGTCTGCCGCTATAGTGGGACGCGGCTGTTAGAGTATATCGGCGCTCTGTTCCCGGACATTGTCGTGGGCGCCGCCATTTCGGTGCTTGGGCGAAGCAGACTCAACTTCCGTTTGTCATGATTTAAAAGTGCGACCTCCTCAGTATAGCGTCGGCGTTAGGAAGCTCATAAAATGTTGCTTTCATCTGTCGCGAGGTGTTAAAACATTTCTGTAGGACGGGAGAAACGTTTACTGTGATTTTAGATAACTGGCAGCAATTAGTTTAAGCCACAGTATGGGCAAGTGTCGTTACTCTGAAGCGTAGCTTATTCGGTGTCACTGCGTGTCGTATGTCTCTGCTTGTCGCTCTAGAGGGACTGGGGCATCAGGGGCGAACGCATACCCAAAACCTGGTTTAGGTTCGGCGCATGCGCAGTAATGAGCTCCTATACTTCTTAGGGACCCCCTAATTTTGGGGCCCTCTATTCTGAATCTCCCTATTGCGCGTTTATCAATATTCATCACCGTGATGGAAAGGGGTGCAATTCTATCGCTTCTCCGAAACGTCTTTGAGGAAGCGATGAGAGAGTTGAAGCACTCATGTGTGTTACCTAACCATAACGTAGCACGAACTACTTGACGCAGAATATAGCAGGTTTGAACACAGGACAGGAGAGATGGCGGCAGCCAGATGACCTGCCTTTCATCTTGAGCGAAGGAATAAAGGTAACGACGGGGCAAATAGGAAGTGGTTTTATGCCGTAGCTATATGTTGTTTGAATGTGCATGAAGGCGCCATACGCCGAGTTATCGAGATAACAGTCAATATCGCGACTTTACACATGGAAGCTCAGATCTCGAAATGTAGAGGCGCCAGTCTCTCACTATAGGGAAGCCGCGTCGGTCTCCACTACAGTGATGTCAATGGAAGTCGCAGCGGTTGGTCGGGTTCAGCCGCGCTTCCTTCGGACACTTGAAGGCGTCGGCGAAGTGTGCTTCGTTGGCGGCGGGCACGTCGCAGCGCAGGAACGTCGGGGGATATATCTTTCCCTTGTCGACTCCTTCGCGTTTACTTCCGCAGAAGGAGAAGCAACCGCTCGCAAAAAACAACTGATCAGGATTATACCGAAGCAGTCCACTGCCTTTGGCGATTCTGCTAAAGGCAGAATACGCTTTCTCCACCCCTGCTGTATCCGCAAATGACTCGCTGATAGAACTGAGACCGATGCCCTTGATGTCCGAGGCATTCTGCACTTGTTCCATTACGCACTCTATTTTTCTCTTGAATTCGGCACGCGAGTCCTTGCTGTACCAGTCGACTTTGTCGCCCGACCTGGCGATGTCTCCAAATAGAAAGTCGAACGAGTGCGTAATTTCATGACCCATCACTTTTCCAATGGCACCGTAGTTAACGGCTGTCGGGAGGGAAGGATGGACGAAGGGTTGCAGCATGATGGAGCCGGGAATAATAATCATGTGCCAGAGGGGAATGTAATACGCGTTAACTGAGGTCACTTCAATAAAAACGTCATCTCTGCGAACGGTCACAAAAGGGTCATGTACGAGAAGCCGTTTCTCCTTTTCCGACTGTTTTTGCAATGTTTCCAGGTAGCTTCGAATGAAAGGATCTTGGAAAGAAGGAACATAATCTAGGGCCTGCTCGAGGTCTTTGCGCTGCGTTAGGTGTTCTGGGAGGCTCACTACAGAGATGATGCTATCCACACGATCTTTGGCGCCAGCAACAGTCTTGTTGTCCATCCAGGAGAGCTGTTCAAAGGACTGCTTGGTCGCGCTTTTGACATCGGTTAGAATTTTGTAGGTCAAGTTTTCCACACCGGCGGGACTGATCGCATCAAAAAGAAGCCGTCCCATTGGGAATGGAAGTATCTGATTCACTAATTGCAGGCACCCGAAACTTGTTTCAATACCCGCTAAGTCCAGGCAGCCTATCTGACCGAACGACAGGCCGGGGCTGAGCAACTGAATAATAACCCATCCTACATAGATCATAAGGTCAATAGCATTGTGTCCTCGACCGCGCAGGAGTTCTTTAATATATGGCAACAGCCCACCTTGAAACACTACGATTTCTTTGCTCGATGTGATCTGCCTGTCTTTGGGTAAGTGCTTGTTAATTGCGTTCACCCAATCGCCGGTGCTCAAAACTGGGCCCGTCGCGTTTCCCACGTCCTGAATAGTAGTGCGGTGAGGAAAAAGTTTGTTCGCTAATTTAAATGTAGTCGTCAGAGCCCTGAGCTCGGTGTTTACTGACACTATCCTCTCGGCTATGGCGACGGGACTGATACTGGATTTCGGAGGTATTGACTTCAGACAATTTTGAATACGCTCGTGATTTGTCAGTACGGAACTGTTATGATCTAGACCGCTATACGAGAGCGCGAATCCGTAGCGATTGTCCGTCTTGAAGTCAATGGTCATCTGAAAATCGAATATGACGCCAAAGTGGAAGTCGAGCGACAGTCCCACTAGCGCCTCCATAACGCTAGCTTTGCTGGTTACCTTCAACGATGGCCACTCGAGCGAGTACTTCTTGAGGACATCGAGGAGGACATGGAGGTGCTCTTTCTGCTTCAACTCGACTGCCCGGCATTCGGAAAAGGCAGCCACAGTTTTGTCAAAAACAGAAAGGGAGCGGCGCTGAGGTGGCTTGCTGAGCAGTTTGAAGAGCTCCAGGTGGATTCTTGAGTTTAGATGGTCAAATTGAGACGAAGTTAGTGGGTGGTTCAGGGCCCAAAAGGCGCACGTGTGATCGTACAGACCTTCGCAGGCGTCCACGCTGTGGTCCACACTTTGGCTGAGCTCGATCGTGAAGTCGAAGCAGTTGACCGGGTGGTCGCACCACGGGAATAAGGCCTCGCATGCCAGGTCTGTCAACAGCTTGACGACGAAATAAGTAAAGCCGAGGAAAGTGACCCCCACCGGAGACGGAGGCATTTCTTGGGTGCTTGTCGCAGTCCCCGTCTGGCTGTACGAGACCAGCGTATGGCTCCTGGAGAACGAATTCTCGCGCAAAAACGATCTCGCGCAAACACAGCTCTTTTTTTCTCATCACGTAGGTAAAAATAACGCAAATAAAAATCAACTGAAATCCCGTAATTATTTTTGGAATTGTTGCAGCCAGCTAAAATTTGTCCTTCGACACCATTCTCAAAATACGAAGCTTAAGAACTGTACATTTTCACACACAAAAAAAAAGAAAAATATTAAAGACCAAAAAAAAATCTTAAAAAAAAACGGGGTTAGCAGGTCTCGCGCGAGTCGTAGGCACTGTAGAATTACACTGTAAGATAATGACTCTAGATGTGAATTCCTCTGGTATATCTGTAGCACTTTCCAAAATCTCCGAGGGAGGCAAAAGTGCGCTCTGTGGGACCCGCTCTAAATCGGCGAGTGGAGGATAGACTCGCATTTTTGGAGCGACCCGCCCGAGACGGTCGGCCGTTCAGAATGGCCGCTGATCGAACTTGACAAGCTGACCAACGCCTCAGCCAACTGAGTTTTTTGACGACCAGTCACAACTGTCGCTGTTTATTTGCAGAAATAACAGGCGACTCAGGCCAGGTGAAAAAATCCGAAACCATGGAGCCCATGTCACAACTAACGAGGAAGACATCCGAGTTTGCCACAGTCACAGACCTTCGGCCGCCTCGAAGCGGTGGACCACGTACATCGATCGCCAGTGGTGTAGTTCAGATTGCTGTTAAAACTTTAAAGGGATACTTCAACAAAATTTGAAATATTACCGTCGTGTTCAAAAACAGGTTCAATATGATCCACAATATCCGTAAATGACAACCGCGCGTTTGAATTTTGAGCCTGGTGGCTGTAATTTTCGTTATAAACGGCCCACTCGGGCAAGCGCTCGGAGAAGGCCCAGCGGAGACCACGTGACATCCAACGCAATCGTGACGTAGGTCGTCTCAGGACGAGCAAAGCTACGGCGAGGCTGACGTCGAAAGGATGGCCTAGTCGTTCCAGCCACCGAAGCGGCTGCTTTTGTACGAATTTTGAGTGACGGGTTAATCTTCTGTAATCTTGTAGGGGGACAATAGCGACTTCTGCGACACACAAAGGGCATTCCCGGGAAGAGGGGAGTTCCTCTTGCCCCTCTTCTCTCGTCGTGGCCGGAGGCGAGACAACCTCGTCACTAGCTGTCAAGGTTCCTAGACGGGCATTACAAGCGAGGCGTTAGCGACATCCACCAGGTGCTCTTCGCTAATCGTTTAATTCGTTTTAAAATTCCTTTCGTGACTTTTTAACAAGATATTGGTGTGTTCGATGTGATGCTGCTCCTTTGAACACATATAGACCAAAAATTTAGCGCCGAAATTTGGTTGTAGTATTCCTTTAATGAACACAAAGAGACAACAAACCATTACTCTCACGGTCGTTGCCTACTCTGTTCTTGCTTTATTGCACAAGAGAACGCCGGTGGCATGCAGTGACAAAAAGGTAAACAACCACTAATGGAAAATGAACAAGTCTAACCTTGCGTTGCCTCCATTGAATTTTCTGTCGTTATTTCAATAGCGTCAAATGCGCCACTGCACGAGGTGCATGTCTCGTACGCCCCTTTGAAGCAAACGGCGGCGGGGCACTCGCCCGTGCCACGTGTCTTGCGCTCTCTCACAACAGTGGTTGGCGGTACTTGTTGCGACAAATTCAAGTGGTGAGTCGCCGGCGAGCCCCTGAAAAACGTGCCAGCGGCGCACCATGTGACCATCTCCACCCGAATACAAAGCGCCGTGAACTGGCGTTTTTTTTTTATTCTTTTTTTTTTTGCCTGGGTCGCGAGTAAGCTTGGGTAGCCTTTTCCTCGATTAGTCTATGGTACAATGAGCACGCTGCATTCATCAACAACATAAATTACGACTCTGAGATGTGTGTAAACAAAAGCGCGTTCACAAATGTTTGCAAAATATTAACATTGCTACAGTCTGTAAAGCTAAAAGGATAATAAATTATAAAATTAATGAAAGGGCAGATGTATAAATTAGTGTGTTGCTGCCCGCACGTGGGTCAAATTTCAAAACAATTTGTTCGGATTTCCGATTAACTGTTTCCATTTTACAAGGATCCCAAGGAGGCTTGCCAACGTCGCTTTTCATATTATGTTTATTGTTATTACCTTTTTTTGGGATCCTCAGGCTTCTCATTGCGCCCACCCCCTTGAAACTGTAATGCGTATTCAAGTATCGAACTGTGTCACAATACATAATTTTTTTTTCTGCGGTGTAATAACGTGTTATTAACGAGTTGTAAAAAAGGTGATGTATGATGCAGCCCATGTCTAAGAGCATACTGACCTTGAGCAGGCTAGACAAATTCATCCAAAAATGACGGCTTTCCTTGTAACATACGTTATCTTTCTCTTCATTGTTTTCGCTATCTTGTCTCGGAGCACAGAAGGGTGTCTGTCTCGATGGCTTCGTTTGCCACTCGAACCCGCTATTTGCCGCTTTCAGAGAGAATTGTTTCGTTTGGTTCACTTTCCCGATTCGGATGTGACGATATCGGATATTCTCGACTCCAGCGAAACGAACGCCACCAAGCGGGAAAACCGGGAACCAGCCGAACCAGGTCGCTCCGCGCCCCTCCGCGTCTCTGGTGGCTTTCGCGGGCACGTGTTGTCGGCGCGGTGGCGAGCAATCTAATTTGACGAAGATCCGAAAATTTCTTATGTTTGCCTGAGTGTTCATTAGTGTGGTGAAGCCTCAGTAGATTGTTTCCTTCCATCACATGTTTGAAAGACAGTTTACTGCACAACATATGGTCGCGTACTTTCGATTTTTTGGATGGGGAGGAATCACGGAAAAACGTTTTGATTTCTTGTCTGTTTCGAATTACACTCAAAGTTATGGCTACTTGATAACTGATAAGTGATTTCTTTATAAGGATGTAGAACAGTGAACCGAGGATGACAGACGAGGTGTTTCACTGAAGAGGACACCAATGTTGCAGTCAAGTGAATGGGAAGGTTCGATAGCTGCTTTTCTTGAGTTTGGTTGTGTTCGGTTAGCTTCAAGTTTGAGCCATCCACGCCGGTCGGTCCGTTGGGTATTAATCTTGGCTGCTTTTCGCTGAAAAAGCCTCTGGACCACACTGAAGGAGTTGGGCTGATTTCAAAATTACTTGATTCAGGAAAACCTGCTCGCTGCCAATTATGAATGAGGGAAATTATTTGTTTTCAAATGGTGGGGGATGAGTCTCGCAACGTTAGAAGAACAACTGTTTCGGCCACCGTGATTGAAACTGTGTGCCAATGCAGGCGCATGAAACAAATTAGTCGTTAGTTGTTTATACAGCAGGAGTTTAGTCTGCCAGAACATGGCGACATTGTTACCCACTGTAGAAAAACAATTTAGCCAGTGCAGTACGACTGTTACCTGGGGTTTTTAGCGTGCACCACGCAGTATAGTGATACACGACCGCACGCCGGTACGATGCTCATCCAGATCGAAACGGGCAGGGGAGGTGTTTGAACCCTGGAGCCCTGGGTTCTGCAGCGCGAGCTTTCGCTCTACGTGCTCCGAGCTGGTGTGCGCTAGAGTTAGACGCTTTCAGGCAGCTGTGCATAGGCGCCGCCATAACCGACCTTCAGTTTTTCTCCTTGTTTATTCCGCTCGCTTCACTTGATCATTACCAGAGCAGGACGGACGGGTTATTGCCATTTTAACGGTCTGTTCACACGATGCATCTCTTAAGCGCGCAACAGTTTCGCGACACTCAAGTTTCGCGAAATGTGCTTGTTCGCACGTACCACTTCACGTGCAACAACAACACACACCGATGCACCGTGTTTTGAGTGAGCTCCGAATCACATCGCTATTTATCTTAAGGACATCTTTTGCGAATTTTATGCAGTCAATTCACTTTAATTTTTTTTTTCTCACATACTGCACTACTTGGAGCGATGTCGCGTGTGCGCTAATGGTCTGTTCACACGATGCATCTTTTAGGCGCGCAACAGTTTCGCGACACTTAAGTTTCGCGAAATGTGCTCGTTCACACGTACCGCTTCACGTGCAACAACGATGACGTTTTGACTCGCGAAAATAGTTTGGGTGTTGACCATAAAGTGGCGCTTCAGTTGAAAGCCAACATCATCATCATCACAATTAGCCATTCAGCGTCGTTTCATTTACTTCAATTTACTTAATTTACTCTTAAATTGTCATTTACCAGGTGTTGAATTGTCATTTACTGTTATTTACTTTATTTACTGTTGAATATGTATAATTTGGATGGAGGTTGACAAAGAAGAAGACTGTTGTGGAAGTAAATGAGAGCTGTACGCTGTGCTGGTTTGAGACGGTACTGTGTACGTCCCTTTTTGTTTCCTTGTCTCAAGGTTTTATTTCTTAATTATGACTAAAAATATACGCGAATTATCATCATCACCGATTACGTCTTCGTCCATCTCTGGATTTTTTTCCGATATGCTACTCACTTTTCCTTCAGTGGTGCTTGACGTGCTTGCGGAAGCACAGGCAGTATCCATCGTTCGTGGTTTCGGTTTTCTTTTTCGAATTTGGCTCGGCTACAACACCGGCAGTGAAGTGGTCTTCTCAAACAGCTCGCTCCCCCCTCAAAGGCCACGTGAGAGCGTTTCTGAGCGGCCATTGGCGGCGCCCTCAGAGTGATTGACAGGTCTCGGCAAAGTTTCAGCAAAAGCTCGCTCCAGAAGCGAGGTGTGCGCGCAACCTTTTTTAGATGCGCGCGTCCTTTTCGGACTCGTTCAGACGGCGCAACCATTTCGCGAAACTACGTTTCGCGACACTAGATGCGCGAGAAAAATGCATCGTGTGAACGGGCCTTTAGACAAGAGAAGGTCGGCTATGGCGGCTCAATCTGGCGCGCGCTGAAAGCGTCTACAGGCTCCCTACGGGAGCCAGAGCTGCGCGTTCATCTCCGTAGCGCCGTCTTTCCTGCACGGCATGTTGATTCCGCTCTTCACGTGAATGAATTGGGCGAATAGCAGCGCCGCGCGTTCGAGGCCCGCGGCGCGCTCAAAAGCAGGGGAACGTACTCCGGGGCGTGTGCAACGACTATTTTCCTACACGGCACTTGATCCGGCTCCTCACGTGATCGGATCTCGGCGAATAGCGGCGCGGCGGCACGTGGAAAACAGACGCGCAACTCAGCTAGCTCCCGTAGGGAGTCTATACAGGAACTCTAGCGTGCGCTAGCCCACTTGGCCACCGATCCCTCTTTGGCTTACGAAAAGTAGACGCTTCTTTATAAAAATGTGTTTCAACGGAAGACGAAGAAGCATTCTGCGTAAGTCGCTGCAAGCAGGCGGCCTCAAGCCATGGAGCTCCAGCCATGGCCTCGTGAATGTTTCTCGCGCGCGCTCCTCAGGTCATTGCATTTGCGCGGCAGCGACTGTTACTGCAGGGCGCATGGTGGCACCCGCAACCAAACCAAACGTAAACCAGACCATAGCCTCCTCTATATTCACAAAGCCTCGAAGTTCGATGACGGAGCCATAGAGTGCCCGGTCGCAGATTTGGAGAGCGAGGATCTGGTAGCACAGAGCCTTTCTCGGGGTGTCTGGTATTCAGCGCACAGCTTTTGAGCGGCGAGAACCCGAAACATGGTTTTAAAACCTGACGAGAAAAATAGCGGTTGCCCGAGGAACGCGAGAAGCACGAGACCATCGCTCGGGGCAAGTGTATTCCGGCGTCTCGCCGCAGCGGGGCGCCCGTTACATGACTCTTGTAGGGAGCCTTCATACATTTCGTACACCTCATACACTTCATATACATCGAGGCACCCTAGACTCTTGTCTGCCGCTCTATCTTTTAACTTTCGGGGGCCGCGTTACGTGACGATCCGCCACGCTTCGTCAGTATAGAGGAGGCTATGACCATACAATACAAGGAAATTGCCACAAATTATTATCATCACCATTATAATCGGTCTACGGAATTTGAAGCAGTGCAAAACGGGCTCCCCGCCGCTCGCTGCAAGAATGCTTATTTAAGAAACCGACGACTCCAAGCTCCCACTTTAACACATACCATCGAACTAGTTGCCACAACTGGTCTTCACTTCACAGGCGGGAACCATAAGAAGGCGCCATTGAAACATCTCGTTTAATACCCGCTTTACGGGCACATTTAAAGCCTTCAGAACTAACTCATTTGCAGAATTAATTAATCAGTTTGCGATATCGGTTCTGCACGTGCCCTTCTGCGTGCTCAAAAGAAATACTGCTTGCTCCGTGCAGTATTTCAATTACTAGGATGCCGTTTTCAAATATAAAATTAAACCAATGTAGCTAAGGAAATCTATTTGAGGGCTTACTCACACAGGCAGTGCGGTCATTAAGCGCTTCCATTGTTTTGCAGCCATTGGAGTGAATTTGTCGTATTTTCGACCATTTCCGGGGTCCAGAGCATCTGTGCAGCCCCATGTCCTGTAAAGCTCAGTTTCGGAGGTTCCGTGGCACCTGGCCTTTTTTGAACGCAGAGCAAAAGCAATATGACCTCTACGCAGTGTTACGCTTTGAGACAACGGCACTTTTATGAGTTCAGTAACACAGAAAAAAAGTCATCAGTCAGTGGTTCAATGTAAAAACGTTGAAAAGTGCGTCGAAACCCATAACGGGGCCCAGCGAGAGAGCAACCTTGCAAGCTGGCAATGTCGCCAGGTATAGAAACACAGTACCAGAACAATTTTTTTGTGCAAAAACTGGTTTTCAACAATTATAACACAAAGATAAATATTTTCATAAAATATTTTTATAAAATACCGCAATGTAGCAACTTTTTGCATTAACAGATCTTCGTCGTAGGACTGGTTCATTGTTCCTAACAAGGTGTTTTTCTTTTTAACTAGGGGAAAAAAAAACAGCGCGCCATGGTACGCGAATTCTTGTCAGCTATCAACTGTTTCACGATTTTCTAAAAAACCAACCTCATACTGACGGCTGATAAATTAGACTTCATATTCAAGGAGTGTAAGCACCGAATATTTCTGTAACACCACGCCAAACAACTATCTAAAAAAGTATTGGCTCATACGGTAAAACTGTTAACAAAAGGTATCAACAAGCTCTCGCCTAATTGGGGAGATCGTACGTCACTATGCCCTGTTCCCTTTCGTGAATCCATTTGGTCACAATCCACTTCGAACCTGTAAGAACCGGACATCCCATGTGCAAGGTTCGCGGGTCTCCGCACCTTCTCTGGTTCCAGAAGCTCTCGTTGACGATCGGACCGTCGTAAGGCTTCAGGTTGTACCAGAACAAAGCTGTGCCGAGTGTGGGCTTCACCGCCAGCCTCATATTGATGAAAGCCGTCGCACCCCCACCGGCCACGTCGGCCAGGTATATGAGCATTGTTGCCAGTCGGTTGCCAGAGGATTTATAAATGTCGCCCTGGGCTTCGCCAAAGCCGGCGTAATCAGGGTGTGGGATGTAGTGGCCGCCCAGACCGTAGTTGGCAACCTGGTACATCTCGGCTGACGTCAGCGTGAGTCCCGTGGCCAGGGCGATTCGCCGCGACACTTTGCCAAGTAGAGGGTGCAGGTCATCGGACATCTAGGCGACCTGGAAAACAAAATACCCAAAGGCAGGGTCAGAGGGCTTGCGAGGGATAGGTAAGTGCAGACACCTAATGAGACAAGGGTTATCCGCTCTTGCGCGTGCGCTATAGATTGTGCCTACTCGGAAAGAGGCGGCGCCACCCAGCGGAAAAGGCGTGAAGGAGGGAAACGGGAAGCTACCGCCTAGCGAATCGTGCAACGAAAACTGAAGTGTCCTGGAGGCTGAAAAGGGAAACAGACGAAATGGGGTTAAATACGCGAAGCTGCTACAGCAGATAGCCACAATTTTATTATTAGTAATTGCGTGTCATCACTAATTCATACTTGCTACACAATGCGCATATACATGAAATAGAAGTACAAAATGGCGTGCTACTAGCTGAATCTATAGCTAATAATATGTCTGATTGTATAACCGCAGATCTCGACAAGGCAAAAAGAAAAAAAAAAAAAACTTCTTGCTACAGCAAGACCTGAAAAGGGACATCCTGTAGTAAGATTGCGGAATTTGTGTGCGCTTGTGTGAACTGGCAACTAAAGCACGACCCAACGAATCAAGGTCCCATTAATTAAGTCACAAATCGCAAAATCAGTTTTAAATGTTGCGACACCGTGGATACCCATAAACGTTAGTCTAGGTGACGAATTTGTGATGTAAAATTATTTCTGTTTTGATATCCTTTTTCTCATTGTGGAGTGGCCGGAGTCCGGTCTACGGCAGCTAATATATCCTCAATGCATCAATATCTCTTTTTCTGTTCTTCGAGACAGTGATTGCCTAATAGACATTTATAAAGTAAGTAAACGTTTACCAAAGGCTCAATTCAAATTTCAGCTATTTCCAAGCTAGGGTAAAAAACTGTTTTTCCTGTTAACTATTTAGGCATTTGATTGGGCAAGAGAGCTCACTATAACAAATCTGGAGCGTCCAGTTTACCTCAAAGCAAATAGGAGTGCTAATCGCTGCAATCTACAGATGGAACTCGGCGAATGACGAGGCTGGTTGTATGTTTGAATTGTAGTCATTAAATCTTCGAGGTGTTTTTTCTTCTTTTTTTTTTTTTGGGGGGGGGGGGGGGGGGAGTCGGGAATTCAGATATTTTAGAATAAAGACGGGAGAGCAAATTCCGAACAAATTTTTTTACTACTTGTTTAGTTATCGTTAAGTCAAACGTAACTGGGGTGTCGAGAGTTACCAGAGCGCATACACTTTAAAGAACACATATTGATTGGAAAGTATAATGACCTAGATGCAGTGTTGTAGGCGTTACCGAAAAAAAAAAGTAACGAAATACTTGCTCCTTACATGTAAAAAAAGGGAACGCGTTATCGATATACGTTACCTCCAAATAAAAGGAACGTGTTACCGTTACCGACAAAATGTAATGCAGGTTACTTTTGCGTTACATTTTAATTATGAATTAACACGTTTTATTGTTTTGACGCTACAGGTTTGCATAAGCACCATATTTCGAGAAACCGTATGTCCATCCGGAAACTGAACGTGATTACCTCATATTTTTAGGGTGCCACCTAAATACTCACAAAAAAAGCAGCACACAAATCACGCAAAAATCTCAAAAATTTATATGGCATGGTGTCTAAAAACCCGAAAAGAAAAAAAAATCAAGTGTTACGATTAAGTCATGCGAAGATAACGTAACGAATAACGCAACTACGTTACACGTTACTTGCAAAAAAGTAACGCGAGTACGCACCGAAGTTACAGTTTTGAAAAAGAAACGAATACGTTACAACTTTACAGGAAAAAGTGAAGCGTTAGTGGTAATGTCGTTACCTGCAACGCGTGGCCACCAACACTGCCTAGATGGCATTTCTCTACACAAACACGTGGACATCTGGGCAGCAAACTTGACAAAAAAAAAAGATAGAAAAAAATTGTCAAATAATCCTCTTCCTTGTTTTTATCAATAATCTTTGCACAATATTTTTTTTCTAAGCGAGTGAGTATTTATGGTATTGTTGTGGGCATTACATTCGTGTACAAAGTTAAAAAAGAGCGACATATGTGGAATGACTGCTCTACTTGCGCGATAATGATAAGAGTCTTTTTCTACGCACGCGCTCACATCGAGGCACCATACGAGCAACGCCGCAAAAAGCCGCCGCGACGGAGTGGTAACAAGAGTTATTTCGAACGTTAGGTGAAACGTTCTGGACTATTCGAACGCTTGCAGACAACCAAAAACTAACGATCAGTCAACACCGTCGTTACACATGTTTGTCTCTCTTTTAAGAATTGCGAGAACGTCTAAATTGAAGTTGTATTATCCGCGATTCCAATGGCATTTTTCTTGTGCGTAAAGTTGACTACGACTTTTGAAACAATTCAAGGACAGCCAGGATAATGTGAACATCCATGAAGAGTCTAATGGCGTCCTTCCCTTTCGGTGACGTGCCCAAAATGACCCGTATGTTTACCTTGTTGGTACGCCGGAGGCTGAAACCTCCCTCTGGAGGCCCTCCCAGGTAGACTTTTGCGCGAGAAAGTTTCTCTTGTGAAATACTTCGAAAGATTTCACATTCTCTAGGATTCAAAAAGTCGGGAAAGACGACGATTCTAGGATCTTCAGAGAGCACTTCAATTTTGAAAGGTTGCAACATAAGGAAAGGGTGACCGCCAATGGTTGATATCTTGCACAAGAGCTTGCTCTGACGAGGCCTCACATCGCCATTCGCAACACACATGGACATGTACTCAGCGGACTCTTTCGCTGCATTCGTCGACAGGTTAACGCGCTCGAGGAGATTCGTTGTAGCCTGTTGGAAGTTCGATGTAAGCGCTCCTTCAGAGCGAGCTTGATGCAAGGCGGCCAAGGTCCAAGCGTTCAGGTTTTCGGTGTCTCCCTGGGCAGCGCAACCCTCTGCGAGCTCCTTCAGGTCATCAGCGTCCAGATCCGGAAGTTTGGACGAACGCAACCTTCTCATTTGGTCTACTGTTAGGTTGTAAGTTTCCCGAAGTCGGCATATACCCAGTGCTGCTCCTGTAAGGTCGCTTTTCGTGGGCCACCAGTCTTTAAGCGGGGAGTAGGAGAACGCGTCGTGAAGGTTTCTCGTCAGCCTGGCACTAGCCATCTTCGCAGCCTGGTTGCATAGTGACGTTATCTTCCAGTACTCCAATGGTTCAGTTTTCAAGGAGTCATAGGCTATGGCGATCTGCTCGTTTAGTCGAAGAACGTCGTCTTCAAGCCGGTTCAGACGATGCCTTTCAAGGGAAAGGAAGTAATGGAGGTCCTCACTGATTAACGTTTCCGTGTCCAGAGCAAACCTGAGTTCACGGGTCGACGTGAAGAAGTCTGAAATTCCCCTGACCTTAGAATGGTCCAGAAAGATTAGCATTATGGGCAAAATACACCTGAGGCTAACACATTCCATCGTAGTTTTCTTCTTTCTTCGATACCTCTCAACATAAAGAAATATGTTCTAAAACATGATCACGATCAGAAGCTAAAAAAAAGCGTTCGGAAACAACAAGTTTTTACGCGCGCTGCACTGAATTCACCTTAGTATAGACTACCTTAAATGATACAAGGACGTTTGGTTAGCTTTAAAGGGACACTGACACCCCCCAAAATTTACACGATTGCGAATCGGTTTCAGGCCCGTCGATATCGAGACCGGATGGGTAACAAATGCGGCAAACATGAAATGAATGGGCACATATGACAAATTAACTTCTTCTACTACTGAAAACAAAGTCTGCGTGATCGAAGCTCCACGCGCTCCAAGCTGGTGTGTGCCAGGTGTGCGCTATTCTCCATTTCACCCACGGTGGTTTCACCTTATGCTGTACCGCAGCGAAGGCTAGAAGCGCGAGCTCATAGCATTGACAGCTGCCCTTGATGCACGAGAGCTTGTGCCGCCGAGATCTATCCCAGAGCATGGAGCTCGCGCTTGCAGCCTTTTCTGTGGTACATCATAATATGAAATAGAGTATAGCATGCCACTAAATAAGCTACGCTTCAGAGTAACAACAGTTGGCCATATTGTGGCTTAAAATCATGGTGGTTGCCAGTTATCCTTAACTTTATCTGAAATCACAGAAAACATTTTTCCGTCCTCCAGAAACTTCCAAACAGTTCGCGACAAAGCAAAACAATATTACATGAGCTTCATAGCACAACATCTAATGCTGAGGAAGTCGCACTTTTCAATCATGACGATCGGCAGTTGCGTCTGGTCTGCACAAGCACCAAAATGGCGGCGCCCACGACAATGTTGGGGAACAGAGTGCGGATACTCTAAGCACAGTTCCCACGTGAGAAGATCTAAATATTGACGCTACAGGAGACAATTGCTTTTTCAATATTTATTTATAATTATATTGAGTCCTACTACATATATAAATGCCACAAAAAAAGTTGTTTTTCTTTGTATTTGCGCTTTATACATTTGGAGATTTCGCGCCTATCGAAATGCGTTGCTTCTGAAGTTGGAGTTGTCAATGTTGCAGTACGCTTTCATATGTAGTGACTTCTTTCAATCATTAGTCCCTGACAAGATAAGAACGGCAGGGATCGGTCTCTCAGTGCTGGCGCCTCTAGTGGGTGATTCCGACCTTCGATGGCGCTTCGACGTCTCGTGAGCCTCGAGCGTGCACAAGCTGCCAGAGCAGGGCAGAGGGCAACGATTGCGCGCAGGAATTTAGAAATCTAAAGGATACGACCTGTCGTTTTCATCCTGTCGGTGTCCATAGATGCATGTGGTTGCTGCGTCTGACGAATGATTCAAGGTCGGCCCGAATTGGAGTCGTTTCTACAGAAGTCTACACTAGTTAGAACAGTTCAACGCGGTGCAGGGCCTTTGGGACGGCTTTCTATGGAATAGCCCCTTCGCAATCAACTTCCTGCCTAGATTACCGGTCGCTATGAGCAGCAAGATTATCACGATTATCAGAATGCAGACGAGAGAGAAGGACGCTTCTCTCAACCTGGGTAGCTCCAAGATCTCGTCTGCACCTCCGTCCGGTTGCTTCGTCTTTGGCGATTGTTTCTCGAGAGATGCATTCATAGAATTTTCTTGCAGCCGCGGAGATTCCTTGCCTTCTGGGGAGTGCGCTGTATCTTCCTGTTTCGGTGATGCAAGTGACTGTAACAAAAAAACAAAAAAAGAAAAAATATTCATCGAGATTGCAGAAGCTATGTGCATTGAGAAAATCAACATGTTTGCTCCGCATTCGTTTTTGGCGGGGCGAATCCCGAGCAGTTTATTATAGTTGCATAGTAAATTACACTACGGTATTTGACAATGAGAAAGCCGAAGAATAAATCGCAAGGCGAGACGCGTGAACAAAATGGGACACGCCCCACGTTTGTTAGACCGTTAGTATCTAGAACGATGTATAAGCCTCATCCGTGGCAGACGGAAGGTGGATCAGCGAGAGATTTCGTACGCTAGCTCCCGCGACCAAATAACTCCCACATATATGAAGCCCCTTTTGTTCGGACGGTTTACTCAGGATTTCTGATAGTAATTTGTTGTATTTGAAGTGACAACGTAAAATATGCGAAATAGTCGATCCATTCGCAGTCACACCAAGAAAAAAAAAAAGAAAAAAAAGGAAGTTTTGCGCATTCTGCGAGAGCTGCACGAGGTTGTGCAAGATTTGGTTGTCGAAGAAAGAACCGAAAGTCTTGGGGTTGGAAACATGTACGTCTTGATTGAATAACGTAAAGGTAATCTAAGATGCACCTTCATATCACATAACGGGGAAAGTTAGTAACGGTCCGCGAGGAGATGGACTCGTTCTACTGTAGTGTTTTACCTGGATATGAGTATAGTTGAGTAGTTACCAAACGATTGCCGTAATAAAATGCTCAGAAGCAACAAGCGGGTCTACTTATAGTGACAAGATGCAAAACGACAGGGCGACGTTTTTCGGATGCCCGTCCTCAAATACGCAATCGTCGACTTCCGCCGTGCATTGGCAGTGCGTGCAAGCTCGGAGTTACATCTGGGCGTTATCGGAGCTATCAAGCTCGTGCTGGACGCGGGACAACTGAAGGGCCTCCCCGCCGTTTTCATCCTGCCCGCAAGTATAGCCGCCATAGTCAAGCCCTTACTACTGAGCGCGTAACCGACGGAAAGCTTCTGCATAATGCATTCCACGGCGTTAAACAACGAGATGAAATATGGAGTGCAGAGATTTCCACTAATTCAATGGACAGTCGGCAGTAGAATAGTGTCTTATGTATGAGAATTACAAGAAATGAAACCTGGGCAGTACAAAAGTATCCTTAACGTTGGACTTTGCACATGTAGCCAGTTCGTCATGATTACGCGATTGCTCATCGGCTTAAGGCTCGTCCATATCGAGACCGGATAAGTAACAAATACGAGCAAACATCAAATGAATATGCATATAGCACAAATGAATTGACGACCGTTAGAAGGACGTTTTCCGAGTCTGCCATTATGCAGCATTCCCAGATGTTTGGGTAGGGGGAAAGCTTTGAAAAGAATGTAATGCGTGGGAACTATATGCTTCTTCCTTACCTCGGGGTTGTGTTCCGCTGTGTATGTGACGGGAGGTGATGCTCTTGGGGAACTACTACGTCCCGATGCAGCGGGTGGTGTTGGCTGTGAAGACGCGGCTGACTCTTTCGGTTGTTCGCCTTTTTGTTGTTCGCCTTTCGGCTTTTTCTTTTTCCTACGGTCGCTCTTCACTAGGTGTGGTTCTGCTTCTTCGACGGCTGAAAGCCTTCTATTTGTTTGACCGGACTGCTTTTTACCAGATGTCCGTCGACTGGAATCTTTGGGCACTTCCATGTTCATTCCTTGACTTCTTTGTCTTTTAGTACGCGTGCTCATTATTGAGAAAGTATGGTGGGAGCCGCAAGCGCTTATGCGAAAAAATATTTTTAAGAAGCTGCTTTTTCTTCACGTTTGTGCCTCTAATTGCGCGGCTCAAACTATTGGAAACTTTCTTGTGCTACGTCGTCGAAGCTGTCGCAATTTGCGCTGTCCTCCAACGCGTTTCGTTTACAGGCGAGCGAGTGCAAATGAGACGCAAGACGAAGCCACGTGCTCTCGCCGCAGTGACGGTTGGAGCACCATGGAAGATGCGCTAGCTTTGACAACCTAACACAATATAGACGCTTTACACACGTGCCAGATTGAGCCGCCATAGCTGCCCTTCTCTTGTCTTACCGAGATGCCGAGCCACTGAAGCGGGCGTTGACGGGTCTTCACAAGGGCCTATGCTGGGCACAAGAACACAGTAGCATCTAAAATGGCCATAACCTGTCCTGCTATGGTAATGATGAAGTGAAGCGAACGGAATAAGAGGGAACAAAAGCTGAAGGTCAGTTATGGCGGCGCCCATGCACAGCTGCTGTAAAGCGTCTATAGTGAAGACGCTTATGATACAAGTATGATTGCGAAGGTTTGACCGAAACACAATCTAGAAAGGCCTGACCACGGAGAAAAATATATCTAGCTGAAAATGTGTTTTTTTTTTTTTGTTTTTGTTTTTTACGGCAACCGATTGTCTGTAGTTTAGGTGTTCACAATTACTGTCATCTTTGTTTCAATGGTCACATATGGAAACTACATAGCGCACGAAGTTTGTTTGTTCGTTCAATAAAGTAACATAATTGCCAAAACTTTAGTTTTAGTACCTCCATGAAATACACACAAAAATTGATTTAAAGAAAATATGAGATCGTTGTGTTAGAGACGGAGTTATTTCTACTTCTGTCGGCAGCATTTACGAATAGGCGATGTCACCGTCTGCGAATGCCACCGTAGGCTAGTCAAAACAGGTCCTTTTTGAACAAAGTAACTTTATCCGTTGATATTTCCACTTCAAACTACCAACACCTAGCCGCACCGCTGCGGTAAATCACAGCGCCATTCGATTAGATACCGATTTTTGTGAGCAGTTCAACGTCGGCTCCAAGAGTTTGTGTACGTTTTGTACGCTCAAAGGTAGTGTATTCAGTAGCCATAGATGATTAAAAGGGCAGTAGACTTATTTCAAAAACTGACGCCCCTCATCGCGGCGTAATACCGCGTTATGAATTCTGGGAATCAGTGGGCAGCAAAATCAATACGCGCTCCGCTCCTGGCCCACTAGTTCCCAGAATGCAATGCGCGCGGTGGCGGATTTATGGAAGTAGATTAATTAGGTCAGCTGGTTCCTTATAATCTACGAATACGCAAAAAAAAAAAAGACACAAGGACAAGAAAGTAAACGGCACCTCCATGTCCTTGTGTATTCTCCGGTACTTTCCTTTTTTTCAACGCTTTAGATGGTTTTAGGCACGAAGATTGCTGAAGTGTCAGTAGTCTGACGTCGAGCCCATTTAGCGGCTTTAGCCCAAACCAGAGCGGGAGAC